ATTTCGCTTGTATCACAGTTCCCTTTCTAGGTAGTCATCGGTACAGATCCTTCTTGTTCTATTCGTGAAGTGTCTGACCAAATTGATTTCACATCGCGTTGATCCGAAACTGAAGAAATGTATACACTATCGACATCTCTCTTCAGTGAATCATCCTCTCTCCTACCCAATCGGACATCAAGGAAGTTTAGTCTGTCATTATCTCAGATGTAACGTGATTATTTTCCTCCCGCATTGCTACGCAATACATTAAGTTTAAATAAAGCATTAAGAAGACAAATTTCGCGAGATGATATGATTTCGTAGTTTCTTTACAACCGCTTTACAACTAACATGGTTAACAAGATTATAGGTTTCCAGGCCGTAGGTGTTACGAACTTCCTGAAATAATTTGAGCGCCGAGTCAAATTGATTCATTATAAATTATTTAAATTAATCCCAGCGTGTTAAGAAAATCAAAACAAGATTTTTCTGAACATTTCGCTGTGTAAGCCACAGCTTCTTCAGCAGATTTATTCGGATTTTTATTAATCATCAAAATATATAGTCAAAAATTTTAACATACATTAAAGTCAGTTTATTTGAAGGTCATTTGTCTATGGACATTTTTACCAATAGAAAATATGTAAGCAGTCATCACATATATTTGTAATGACTAATGTCAAGTTGTTGTTGTGTTCACTCTTGTATAGTTAATTTGTATAGATTAGTTTTGTATGAGTGTGTGTGTGTATGTATGTTATTTGTCATATGGAAAATACGTGAATTCATATATGATAAACATGATCCTATATGTTTTAAAAGGTCATGGAGGCTCATAGAGTGCTGATTGATTTTTTCATTTGTCTTGCTTCATAAGAGTTTGCCATATAGGTGATAAGTCTATCCCATCTTTCCTATTCACTGCATTCGATGTGGTTAAGATGTGCAAGGCTTCAGAAGTCAATCTTTCTTTATGTGAATGAAATCCTCTTCCAAGAATTTCGACATTGTCGAAATCAATCTTATGTCCGCTGTCTATAGCATGCATTGCTATAGCCGATCTTTTTTCTAGACTTTTTAGTTCTACTTCATTTCTAGGTGGACGTTTCGTGCATAGTCTATGTTCATTCACTCTGACCTTCATCTGCCTACTGCTCTCCCCTATATAGCATGCATCACATTCGGAACACTTTATCTTGTAGACACAATTACTTTGTGACATTCTGGGAACTATATCTTTGACATGTACCAACGCCTTCTCTAGAGAATTAGAAGGTTTGACATAGACTTTAATATTATATGAGGCAAATAATCTTTGAAGTTGTTCAGCTATGTCTTTTCGATATGGAATAGCTATCGTTGATAGCCAAGATTTTTCAATTTTCTGTTTTCCCTTCTGCTCATTTTAACTGATGATAATATTATTTAGTAGCTTTTCCGGATAACCATTTCCAATCAAAATCTGTTTTATACTGGATATCTCGTTCTCCATGTCGTCATTATCTGTTATAATGTTTCTAGCTCTGTTAGCGAGATTTAAAGCTACTGAAACTTTCATTCCTATTGGATGATCTGATTGAAAATTCAAATACTTGTTGGAATGTGTCGGTTTCTTGTATATCGTGAACTTTAGTTTCTAGTCAGTTTGTCTTTTTACAAGACAATGAAGAAAGTTTAGAGTTCCCTCAGCCGATTCTATTTCATTAGTAAACTCAATATATTCTGGAATTAAGTTAATTTCTGTTAGAAAGTTTTCGTTTTCAGCTTTCTTTATGACGATAAATGTGTCATCTACATATCTGTACCATATTCTAGGATGACGACTATAACTTGTCAATGCTTTCTTTTCTAGGGCTTTCATGGTTAACATGGTTAACAATAATAAAATAAAGATCATGACAATTACTCAGTTAAATCAAAACAAAAGTACATACTAATGACCAATCAATAGACTTCAATCTTCGCCTACCCTGGACTACTTGACCTATCTAAATATGATTGGTCATAAGTATGTACTTTTGTTGTTTTTATTTAACTGAGTAATTGTCATGATCTTTATTTTATTATTGTTAACCATGTTAGTTGTAAAGCGGTTGTAAAGAAACTATGAAATGAAGATATCATCTCGCGAAATTTTTCTTCTTAATACATTAAGTTTACTCAGTTTGCTACATATTGGTGGGTGATATTCTGCACAGGTCACAAATTCATCAACATCGCACCATATGAGGACAGGTTGTGTGCACAAATAAAATGGAATGTGCAATTCATGCGTATGTTGTTGCTTTTATATCTGAGTTGATTTCAAGCTGTTTACTAAAATAGAAGCAGAGGATCAATAAATCAGATTACTATATTTATTATGAATTTAACCTAAATGAAATTAGTGTGCATTCACTCTGTGATTTACTTTCATTATGTTTTGAGAAAATAGTGCATTTTGAATGAATCATTAATGACTCATCTTGAAGTACTTCTGTGGAATGTGCTAATGACAAGATTATTAATAGTAGATAGTAGTAGACTTCAATCCTCATCGATTTTCTTTGCAGCTGTCTACATGCTGATTCATTCACTTCATAATATTCATTGTAATCTGTACGCTCTAATTGGAACAGCTTTTATTGGATATATTAATCATAGTTTGGTTTGTAAGGATTAGTTATGTTTTACGAGTTGATCACGGATTGATATCAGTTAGAGAAGCATTGAAAACCAGCATTGGAGTACTGGACAGCTGCTGTTTCATCCTAGTTTGGGAATCATCGGCAGTACGTATCCGCTGGGATTCGAACCCAGGACCTTCCGGTTACAAGGCAAGCTCGTATATCATTCAGCCACTGGGACCCGATTCAATGGCTCATGAATTCTAACTTCTACCAATTCGTGATTTTAGCGCAACCCCAACTATTGTCGTTGGTGGGACATCCATCCACACACGTGACTTCTAATTGGACCTCACTGGTCACGACTTCTCACTAGAACTCCAGGAAGCTCCAACCTGTAGCAAGTCACTAGCGAGCTAAAATCACGAATTAGTAGAAGTTAGAATTCATGAGCCATTGAATCGGGTCCCAGTGGCTGAATGGTATACGAGCCAGCTTGCCTTGTAACTGGAGGGTCCTGGGTTCGAAGCCTGGTGGTGGGTGCGTACTGCCGATGATTCCCAAACTAGGATGAAACAGCAGCTGTCCAGTACTCCAATGCTGGTTTTCAATGCTTCTCTAACTGATATCAATCCGTGATCAACTCGTAAAATATTAATCATAGCCACATTTGCAAATTTACTTTCAATTTACACAGTTCAAAGTTAGTTTTCTCCACAGTGTCTTTCGATAACTGAAATTACTCAGATCACAGATCTGCTTGATGCCATAAATGGTGATTACGAAAGCAAACATCAATGCTGCATACTATTGAAAAATTTATATCGGGTTGTTTGAACTGATCTGGCTATCTGACCTGAGTCAAACCATTTAGATACTCGGCTGATCAGCTCCACTCAGAATGAGAGAAGAGGTCGTCCCGTGTGTAGATCACCTAGATCTGGCTGGCTAGTAAGCACTACTAATCGGCGTGAGTGTTGTGTAACTACTCATCTCGATAAATCAGTGGCATATAGTTGATAAATATTTGAATTTGAAAATGGAAATTACTTGAAATCTTGTGTTAGGAAATATTAGGATTTGTTGATTCTGCTGGATTCCTCTGATTTGAAGTGAATTGGAAACCGCCTACGGAGATGGACGTGGAAAATGAGGCCATTGAATCTCCACAGAGAGAGGGACCGTTTTGCCAGATGACAGATGAGATTTCAGTTATTTGGGTAACTTCGTTAAATTATTATATTAATAGATGGTTGGACTGTCATCATAGTTAGATGAAATTGTCTGCCACTTATCTAAGTCTTAACTTGGAACACTCCAGGGATATGTGTCCACTGGGTTTCGAACCTGGAGCTGCCGGATTTCGAAGCGAGCTCGTAGAACTTTCAGCCACTGGAATCTAATCCAGTGACCAGCCCATGAATTCCAGCTTCTGCTAATTCATGATGTATATTGCGCAACCGCCAACCAATTTCATAAACGAGTAGTGGATTTCTTGCAGGAGTCTTAATACAGCCAATCTCTGGTGGGCATCAGATATTTTTCAAATGTTGTTTGGCCAGCAATGCTTGATTGGTTACAAGTCTGACCATGAATTGGCATCAACTAGAGAAACACTGGACTGTAGTTTAGTCCGGGTTTTGAGACTGTCCATCACAACACACTAATAGGAACACAAATCCAGGTGTTTCATGGACCACTAGTTTGGATCTCACTCACTAAAAGGAAACTGAAGGGTACCATGAGAAAGAACATGGGAGCCATTCTTAAATGTCTGTTCTTTCAAATAAAAGCATCCTGTATATTATTCGCACCCTTTCCTCAACGCTTCTTCTTAGTGAATATAGTGAGTTGGTTACCTAGTCCCAGAGCCTTCCTTTGACTGATCGTTCCAAGTTCACTGAATTTTCAGAATAATACAGATACTTCTAATAAAAGCAATTACCACTGTGACAATGAAACTAGACTACTGACATCTTTCTGTAAAATTTTCCAGAAGTATCAAGCGTGCATAAGATGTTGAGTGGTTGATTACGTCATTGGTTACTAAAAGAAGAGAATCATTCTAAACAATAGATGTTCTCTCAGTGAATTTATGACTTTGAAGCAGTTAATTACCTGTAACAGAGTTAGATATTTGGTGACATCATTAAAACGATCGACATCGAAGAAGAAGCAGAAGTCAAGACGGAACGGCTTAATTAAGACACAGTTTCAGTGTGACATTAAACACACAAACAAACACAGACACACAAGTATTGCTTTGTTTGTGTACTTTATAGGCCAATCGTGGATTGGATGGATTTGTTTTGTTTAGTAGACTGGTGAACTCAGTGGCCTTGTTAATCATCTTAATTTATCTTGTGATTTACTCATATATATATATATATATATACTTATGGTCCTTGACAAATTCAACAGTGGTGTATCAACAATGCTGACGTCCGGTTTTGGTGGAATCACTACTTTAATAATCCTACAAAGTATGTTCAAAAACACTTTTTTATTATCTAAGGTCACTGGCCCGTAGCTAGCTGGTTATTATATTGTTATTATTTGCTTAGGCTTCAACAAGGCATCACTATTTTTGTCCTGATCACTCAAGTCTTCTCTAGCTTGCTCCACGGCGGCCTATTAACTTTCATCTCCTCAATTTCACTCCTGAAGTTGTGCCTCAACTTGTCGTTCACCATTCGAGTACCCCTGAATGGTTTGACGAATGATGTCATTCATCAGATTCTTCAGTGTGTGTCCCATCCACCTCTATTTCTTTCGACATATTTGTTGAGCAACAGTTTCTTGATTGACTAGTACCTGAAGTTTCTTGTTGCGAATTCTTTCTGACCAGCCATCTGACCTTCAGTATGGAGCCAGTGAAATGCATCTGTTGATAAGATTCTGCGATGGCCTGTTGCAAAATGCTTTCTGAGACACACACCAAATCTATCATTCTTATAGAATGACTCATATGACAATCGTTTTCAAAATCGCAATTTGGTTTTCCTTAAGCTAAGTGCACCGGATACTTGAAAACTGATTTCAAAGTGATGATGAAGGTTTGTCTGGTCTGTCCAACCCAGTTTGGCTTTGACATACATCTTCATTCATTCCAAAGATTCTGCATAAGTGACTGAAGTGATTGCTCAGTTTCAAACACATTTCGTTGTCACTGACTGGCATTTGTTGTTGCTGATGTCGTTTGATTATCTTCATCACCTCCGTCTTCACTAGTTTCATTTGAATTCCTTTCTTCACTGGATGCCTCTTCTGCCGACTTGTAGATTTTCTCCTACACATCCTCGAGTTTGTGCAACATGAGACATAACTCCCACTGAGTCAAAATCTAATGCAGTCCGCTTATCGGTTCAAATTATTCATGTCTTCCCACTCTCCAAATTCTTCTTCAGAACCCAGTCCACCACAATTTCTCTTATCTTTGCAACAAACACTTCACTGAGTGTTTCGTTGTTAAAGCTGACTAGCTAGGTGTGATGTCTATAAGACAATGAAGAAATTGTATAGGTTTTCTTCATGAGACTAATCTGCACTGTTTCCTTTTCTCAACAAAACTGAACGATAAGTGTGTCTTATGAAAATGTGACTGATCGTATAATATAAAGCAATAAGGAATAAAGGCGTTTTGAGCTATTATTACTATTATGAATAGTCCTCAATATGATAAGTTATTCTTACTGTCTTTCTTGGGCTAGCAGACTTGAAGTCAGATCGACAAAAGACTGACTTTCTCAGTACACATAAACTTTAGCATAATGTATTTCAGTGTAGAAGATAAGAGACTTGATGAAGGAATGTTTATTTGGAATTCGGTATTGCCGAATAGGCGAGTTATGTACACCCTATCTTCAAACCACAACTTGCACAGATCTTGCACCGTGTTGTGCTAATTTTGGCCTTCACACTTTGTTGCTTTGTGTTAATTTCACGTCTCCAATGTTTCGCCACAATGCTGAATCATTTGCTTTCCCTGATATAAAATCTGCCTACCTGCCATTTGATATTATTACGCTGAGGGACATCACTTGATATACTACTGATAAATCTTATCCATAGCAAAGGCCAAACTGGCTTTATTCAGAATAATTGACTCAGTGGGGTCAATCATTCTAACTCTAACCTTAAATTCATATCTTCTGATAATTTAACTGATCCCTGTCAACTCGTTTGACCTGAGTAATTGATCTCAGTTGTCGTCACTACACGATATTTAATAAATTCCATGTGTTCACGTAATCGGATCTATCGGATATTTAAGCTAACATGGTTTTTCTCTGATTAATCTGGTTAGTAGGCTGGTTACTTGGTTGGTAGCTTCGTGCATATTTCGTCTGAATTCTAATTTTATTAGAAGTCTCACGTACGCATTCAACGTATACCTGTGTTAATTGTTCTTCTCCCCTTTATTGTAGTAATAGTCTTGCCACAAGGAATTTCTGGAGATTATGAACTGGCCTATTTAGCTAAAAATGAAGATGACGGTAAGTTATTTATAGTATCTAAATATTTTGTGTGAGTCATTGGATGATACCAATTGTGATTGAGTATTTGACCTCTGTGTGCTTGCTTGCATTCTTGTGTGCGTGCCTGTGTGCATGTGTATTGATATTCTGTACACTTTGTTATTAAATTTCCTGTATTTGTTCTCCTGATTAAGACGGGGAAAGGAAATTCGTTGTCCGATTCTTCTTCTCTTGTGAATGATGACGTCTTCAAATGTGATGTTGATTAATTTGTGGGTGTACTACAGATCATTTCTTTGATTTCTTGATCACGAATGTGTCATCAAAATAGCGTAGCCAAATGTTTTGTTTGATTATGGGTAGAGCTATCACATTCTAATCCTTGCATAACGACCTCGTCTATTAGTCCTGATAAATGCGATCCCATCGGTGTTCCGTCCATCTCTTTCTGTATTTGATTACTGAATCGCAAGTATGATACTAGGCATAATATCACGGTTAATGGATTGAGGAATCAGTATTAACGAGTTGATCACGGATTAATATCAGTTAGAGAGAGAACCATTGAAAACCAGCATTGGAGTACTGGACAGCTGCTGTTTCATCCTAGTTTGGGAATCATCGGCAGTACGCACCCACTGGGATTCGAACCCAGGACCTTCCGGTTACAAGGCAAGCTCGTATATCATTCAGCCACTGGGACTCGATTCAATGGCTCATGAATTCTAACTTCTACCAATTCGTGATTTAGCGCGACCCCGACAGCAGCTGTCCAGTACTCCCTGGTTTTCAATGGTTCTCTAACTGATATCTAACTGATCAACTCGTAAAAACATAACTAACCCTTACAAACCAAACTATAGAAAATCAGTATTAAGAAAAATAGTAGGAATTTTGGATATGTATAAAGATAAAAACAGCCACCAAATCTAGTAATGTAGATAGGAACTAAAACCGCAAAAATAACAGAAATAAACTGAAAGGTTGGATCGGAAAGGTAATAGCGTATTCCCTTTTGGTGGGACTGACTTTTCATGATAGTCACAGTGCTTTGAACACATACAGTCTGCTGGAGCTTTTGGATCACCAGTGCCTCAGCTATTCCTATATGCCTTGGTTTCACTCCCCGAGATAGGTTTGATCGGATCTTGTATATGACTTTGGAGGAATTTCAAATGAAGCCAAATGTCCTGATTTCACTAGATGCTCTGATTTCAAATTGTGTAGACTCTTGCAGTCCTCCTTTGCTAACCGTGCAGCATAGTTTTCCCAGGAGCGTTTTACACGCCGACGCGTGGTATGGCCTATTTTCAGGATGGAAGTGGTCAAATAGAAGTGTATAGATGTCCGTGTGGAAATGTGTTGAATCACTCACTTCTCTTATACGTATTTTCAGTCGATTTGATAAATAAAGCTTCAACTATCAACTTCTCTCCTCAGCCTGTTATATTTTATTTTATTATTGTCCTCCTATCCCATTCTTTTTGTATAATTGTCTGTGATTGCATCTAGTGTTTGTTAATGCTGGGTTATTCTCTAGATTACTCACCTAATCAGCGTCAACTAATGTCGATTTTGTCAGAATTTTGTGCTCCGCTAGTCTGGCTGACTTCGATCCACTAATTCGAATATTTATTTGACCTGAAAATCATCACAGGCCACTAGGTAAACTAAAATACTTTTTTCAGTGTACCCCACAAGACCTTACAGACGACATAATTTGTTTGTAAGTGAGTTTGTTGGCGTGTCAGTGGGGAGGGGGTTGTTCAGTGACAATTTTTTCTCGTCTCGACGAGAACTCAAAGTACGACTTCCGAAGGATCAAAGAGAACTATCGAAAACGATAATTTCAAAGTTGCATAGTCATAATTGATATAATCATGACAAGTAACAGAGTGTGTTGTAAACTCTGTCATCCATTAAGTAAAATTGCCTCACTGTGTGTGTAATATATCCGACAAACAATTAAATATGACATCACATACTACCAGTGACCACGTTTTACACATATGTAGACTTAGAAGCATTCCTCAATTGATGTTCATTTGTGAAGTGTTAAATGACAGGGATCTAGGTGATTACAGGTATGATGATGATGAGTTGAAATCAATCAGAGAACCACTGAAAACCAGCAGAAAGTTTTTGGCAGTCAGCTGTTTCGTCCTCGTTGTTTGCAACTCTTCAGCGATGCGCGCCCATCACAAGGATTTGAACCCTACACCTTCTGTTTAGAAGGTTGGTGATCTCGTAGACCATTTAGTCACTGGGATTCTATCCATCGTCCAGCCCATGAATTCCGACTTCTGCCAATTTGAGTTGCACTTAGCACAACCACCAGCCAGTGTCATCAGCGAGTAACTGAATTCTTACTTGATTTGAATCGGATCCCAGTGGCTGAATAGTCTATGAGCCCGCTAGTCTTGTAAAGGGAAACGCCCAATATTCAAGCTCTAGCGTTGAGTTCATACTGTCGAATAGTTCCAAACAACGAGGACGAAAGAACTGGCCATTCAGTACTCCATGTTGGTGCGCAACGGTTCTCTTATTGATTGATGTCAACTATTCTTCGAACCTGTTATGTCTACATTTCTCTTCACTTCACTAACTTCATTTCAAATTTCCACTCACACCTTATCATGAATATTTCAATTGTTATTTTGTCTGATTTAATTTACCAAATACAGATGGAAGCAAATTTTGGCTACTTCAAGAAAGCGATAAATATTTAAGCTTTACTTGGATTCCATTTAGTCCACTTGCAGGCTACGAGTTTGAGTTGGAATTACATCTCAAAATAGTGTCAAGCCCTTCTATCATACTTAGAGAGGATACAACGTCTGCTCCATTCGAAGCCATTGGATACACATGTGAGTATTCACGATATAGTATCACAAGGAAAACAACCGAGTCGTGGCGACGTACGGCAGGATCACATGAACTTTACTACAAAAGAAGTAAGTTGGTGGAGATGGATGCCTGTTTTGTAGAGTAAAAAAGTTAAAGCAATTAGTTCTTTTGATAAATTTGAATAAGGCATTAAGAAGACAAATTTCGCGAGATGATATCATTTCGTAGTTTCTTTACAACTAACATGGTTAACAATAATAAAATAAAGATCATGACAATTACTCAGTTAAATAAAAAAACACAAAAGTACATACTAATGACCAATCATATTTAGATAGTTCAAATAGTCCAGGGTAGGCGAAGATTGAAGTCTATTGATTTTTGTGCACACAGTTTAAGCTGTATGTGATTAATCCAAAGTGCTTCCATCACCTTCAATAACCTACTGAATTAAAATTATGTGAAATAATTGTGAAACAGTCATTAATATTGATTTTGTGACCTGATATTAATAAGTGTTTGCAATGGATGATGCTGGATTTCTATTCAGATTACTGGCATTGGGATTTTCTATATGATTTAGCAGCCATTTTTGAACATGTTCTTTCCGGCGACATTGGAACATTCTGTTGGTTCTACCTATATAGGTGTCACCGCAGCTGCAGGTGAACTTGTTGATATAGTTTGAAGTAGAGTCCACAGAATTTCGTCCTTTAATCGTAGGTACCGGGATCGAAAATGTTCGGCAAGTGAGAAAAAGAGATGTGGCGGCGTAGAATGTGCGTTTGATGGCTGACCGAAGTCTTTGAGCTGTCAACTGCATAATCTGGTCACCCTTGAATGGTAGGTTAATAAAGATAGCTTTCTTTGGTACCGAAGCTGTCTTTTCGAGATGTGGTCTTTCTTTACTGTGACTGAATGTATATGTCGAAACTCATCCATCACTGTGTCACTCGTGCATATTTTTCGTGCCCTTGAGAACAAACATTTCACTAGGGAACGTTTATACTGGATAGGAACAAAACTGGTAAAATGAAGATATTGTCCACTCCATGTCTGTTTACGAAAAGGTGAAGTCACGCTTCTTCTTCAATGGCTGCACACGCAGATTAACACATGAATACTATACACACATTTCTTTGAGTATCGGTAATTTGCTTTATCAATCAAGCTTGAATTTTTCATGGAAAGCAGATGTGCGTCATTTTGAACGAATTATAGAATAGCAGTGAAACCTCCACCTGATCTTCTTCGGACAGGCCTTCAACAGCGCATCACTGACCAAGAAGTAATTTGGAAACTGCTTCAACACTTTGGCGTGCATTGTCCTAAATCTTTATCAGCCACACTCAACGGTTGGCTATTTGACAATGCTACGTGTCTGTTGGTCCACAACAGAAAACTCAACGAAGTCTTATTTTAAAGTTAATACAGGGGTAAGATAAGTTCAGCTAGAGAGAATCGGTAATAAGAAAGTCTGAGAACAGACTAACAAACAACCCATCGTTGAACAAATATGTAGGAGAAAAAGGAGATGCATTGGGTATACGATGAGGACACCTTTGAATGATATCACGTGGAGTGATGACCACTGGGCCAGTGGAATCCAAATTAGAATCGACGAAAGGGTCGTCGGGGCGATGGTGACAAGGAGATCTTGTGGGTTGCAGGAGATTAGTGATTATGGCCGACTGTGGGCCCAACTAAAGACGCCAACAGAGAGTAGGACAAAGCGAAGACGTGTTGTTTGAAGCGTATATTCAGCCCGTAAGTCAATGGAAAAATCAGAATAAAAATTGTAAATAATGTGCATCATTTAGTTGAGTACGTATATACGCATTGTGAATGAGTTTCCCTCCGTAAATGTGATGTTTGTAAGGTGTAGATGATGGCCTAAATGGAGATTTTGGTTGCAAACTGAGAGAATCAGTGAAATGCAAACGCCAATGGACAGCTAGCTCCCTCATCACTGACGCAGTCTGTCGAACACGTCTTACACTCTCATGTCTTTCCCTCACTGTGGTTTCACATTCTATGTACTGAGATGTGGTAGAATTTCAGTGCAATGACTTACTAACTGACTGATAAAGCTGACAACCCCGTAACTTGGAGTCCCTGATTATGAGCACCAACTGTTATCCAGTTATTGGGGCTTTATCATACGATGTGTTTTATATCGAATGAACTTATCTAATATGAAATAGCATTACCCCACAGTGTCCAATTGCACTGAAATACTGAAATGGATGATTCCAAACTTCGATTTAGTCGTCAGTGGCGAAGAATGCTGAAGTATCTCACGAGAGAATCCATCGATATCCACTCGGGTTTCACTTGACCGTCTGGATTTTGTGGGATCGCGACCGACTTATTCGTCTGTCTAGCTTACATCAATGAAAGTGAAAGACTGTTTTATACACAAAGATGTGCATTCAGTTACAGACTACTTCTTATTCAAGATGCATAGTTTTATAGCACTCACACCACCGGTAGTGCTTACTAGCCAGCCAAATCGAAGTGACCCAAATACCAGGCAGTCTGAGGCCAAGCAAATCAGCGGTGAACTCGATTAGACTCATCTCAGAGAGTAGGACGAGTTGAGAACACCGGATTCCTTGCTGACTGACTGAATGACTGACAGATTGGCTAGCTAGCCAGTTTCTCAGGAGAACTGGTGATTTAAAGCAACAGCTAGTGATGGCTTACTTCCAATGCGTTTATTTCTAGTGTGTTTAGAGTGATGAATCCGTCAAAAATAAAAATTCGAAAAAAATGAGGAGACCGTTGAAATCTCGTTATTATTTCCACTGCCAACTGCCGTGTCATCATATTATGTATTAATTTGTGAGTCGAAATACTTATTCATCAATTCCATTTCTCTTCAATTGTTTCACCAGTTCCGAGGATCGAAAATGTCAAACAGCAGTCTGGAGAGCCTAGAAGTGTAACGTGGGAACAAGAGTCCGCCTTCTGTAATAGCGATGATGTTACAATTATCTTCAGTGGACAAGACGATCAACCACTTGAAATGATCATCGTACAGGGTGATGAGAAGAAGTATACTCTGAGAAATAAGGCGGAAAATCAGTTGATCTTCACTGTCTCACATGGAAACAGATTCTCTCTACCGACATTAGGTAAGCTACTTATTAGTATTATATAAAGTGTATTATAAATTATTCGTAATGAGAAGAATCATTGAAGGCACCAGTGTAATCGATACTTCAATATGAGATCATACACGACGAAAAGAAATGAAAATGTGGCGTGTTGGTTTGCAGGGATTAGATAGGTTAGAAGATTTCATCATCTAGTTGTAATTCATGAGCCAAAGGAAGGCGTCCCATTGGCTTGATGGTCTACAAGGCAGTATCGTCAGTGGAGGAATTCGGGTTCGAATAATGGTGCTTGCGGTGCACTGCAGATCAGTCCCAAACTACGAGAACTCAACAGATTGCTGTGCAATACGCCGTCACTTGATGGTGACATCCTGTAACCGAGCGAGTATTTCTTACAACCACCATCCTAAACGAACGAAAACTATGAGGTTAATAAATAAAGCAGTGTGCAAAGAACATATAGAGGAACGAATTCCACACATTACAGAGGAAAAAGAGGAAAACGCAGAGGAAAAGCCAGAGTGAAGAATAGAAAACAAAGATAAGAGAGATTTAAACAGAAGAAAAACAAATCAAGGCGCAGCAGTAATCAGAAGAAAAATAGAAATTTGAGTAATATAATAAAGAAATAAAAAAGTAGTGGAAAACACGAAGAATATCAACTAGTGACATGATTTCAAACACAAAACGTAGTTGCTGATACAAAAGACATTTCTAGTTCTACAGGTGATTTGGTGGCTATGCATACTCGAAATCACCTGAGGAGTAGCGAGTATCACTGTATCGTGAAGAATTTTTAGTATAGTGTGACGATTGCGAATGGATATGTGAGTGAATGCTTGCAAATGCAGGCGGCTAACCACAAGTTCACGGAAATCAAATCAGTGTTTGTTAATGACGTGGTTGTTGTCTGCTTTTCAGAACACATAAGCAGTGAAGCGGTTGGAGAAGAAGATTCCAGTTGGACAGGTGAGTGAGTGTCTATAAATACTTGTCGTGCACATTTCCGCTGTCCATCAAACTGAAGAGCGTCAGCGTGGATGCCATTCCGGCCAGGTGCCTGACTCACTGACTGGTTGGCTGCCAGTCTGTGCGTCCCTCTATCTCTCTGTAAGGCTGTCGGTCTATCTATCCGACTGTCTGGTAGTCATGTGTTAGAGTCTAGGTGAATAAGTTGCAGTCTCACAGAGTTTGTGTTGTCTGCGAACGAACAACCGACTGACACACCGACCAAGTGACAGTCACAGTTTCATTCCTCATGACACAGTCGACACGCCACTCACTGCGTTACATCTCTATCTGAACCATCTATAAGCCACATCTTGCGCTGAATGAATAAGGTGACATTCTTGGGCCATTTAATGTGTTTTTCTCTTTTCTATTGTGTACATTTTAATGATGTCTTTTTTCTATATTTTTTTTTATTTGTGAACTGTCCTTGACTTGATTTCCGCAATATATTTGCTTATTTGCTGAACTCTTTTTATATTTTTCTCCTCTTCCGCTGTGTATATACTTTTGAAACTTCCTCAGTTGCTGTCCTCATTTATTTATTATTTATTTATTATTTTTTTGGAACCAAATCAAGTATTTCTCGGTTTTGTTTGATCTATTGCTATGCCACATTAATTAATGATGTTTTTTTATTTCACCGCTTTTTTATTTTCCAGAATATATAAATACGAAAAACACTATGCAGATATATTCTTGCCTTCGAGGTGGGTCAGCGTTTTTATCATTCTTTGGTATTCATGACCACATTCGCTTCATTTGTTCTGCTCTAAGGATAGTTTGTTTTCAAATCTTTTATGAGTTCACAGTTAATTTCTTCATGGAGATCCAATTGAGTCTTTGTTTTCATTGCTTTAGTGATATCTGTATCTCTAAACCTTCTCACTCAACCGAATGCTGATATCATCCAATCCTCCTGGATCACGGTAGCTCACATTGGGCTTCTTTCATACAATGTATCTAGTTCTATTTTCACCTACTTCAGAATGCCAAACGGTTCATTGTCCTGTGTCGCACTTTCTGACTTCTGTATTATTACGTTTCACTTCCAAGCATGTGTTGATTGTCCTTGCATTCTACTTTCGATAGCTTCGATTCCACCGCTTTACTCACTCATCTTCAAATATCTCTTCTTATTATTCCATCTCTTTTCAAATTGTTTACACTTCCCTCTGGTGACTGACTTTCAGAGTTGCTTCCATGACACTGTTTGATTTCTTCAAAACTTGACCAAACCTTCAATGCTATTTGAATTTCGCATCACATCAAAACATCGTTTGTGGTTACCCTATTTATCTATCTGACTTTCATATTAACGTTTACCACATTGTACGTCGTACACGTAATGATTATCTGTGAGGATGGAGACTTGCACACTTCTACGATCACTTTCTCAGCTTCTGCGTCTACGTGTATTCTTTTGGATTTCGTCACTTGCAGACTCTATATTGTGTCAACTGCCTAGCTCATATTCACTCCGATTCTGAGATTATTGGCCGTCTGATTACTTCGTCAGGCGTCAAATTACGAGACTGACCCATGCAGATTGTCCCACGTTGACAGAATAGGTGATGCACACATGGTTTGTTATACCTTTGGGTAACGAAGACTACATTTCAGGTTGATATCAGTCAGATTGTGAGATATAATCCCACTTACAACGCTGTTCATAGAAACGCGCTCTTATTCTCCTTCCTCATTCTCATGATGAAGCAGTAATGTTCAATGCATATTCACCGTACATGACTAGTCTCACCAACTGCAACATGTTCCATCTTTTTGTTTAACTTAAATTTAGCTATATATTTTATTTACAACATTTTAGAATGGAGGTCACATCGGGCGATAATTTCACTTATATTATGTAAGTGATTCCCTCATCATTTGACAATATTCTCCAAGTCTGACTTTTATTCACTTGTCGACGACTTTTATTTCGTGTAGTATTCCTCAGATGGATTTCTTAGTGAAGTCAGTTTTCAAGTCGATCTGTAGAACTCGTGAATGACGAATTCGATTTTTGATTTATATAATCAGTGTGAGAAGGGTAGATTCTGACAGATGTGCTCTCATTTGAATTATCCACCCATTTGTGTTAAGTCAGAAAAAGCTTAAGTGGTTACAATGAGAAACTGTGCTGATCGATTTGTCGGTAACACAGAGAACATCACATGTCTCACAATAGAAATATCACACTGGTATATTTTAGCTTTATAGATTGACGTAATTATTCAAGTATGGGAATATACGAGATATGGTCAGCTGACGTGAGATTTTATTGCGACTGTCCGTCAAAAATAGTAACAATACTAGCGGGGAATATGTGTTGAATTGAAGCTGGTTAGATGTGAATTTTTTGAGAAAAATGAATGCCCAGTTCATTTGACAAACTCACTCCGAACATAGTTTGACTTTCAAGGTAATATCAGTTCTGTGAGTATATTCAAACTGTAGCGGGATTAACAATCACACAAGATCTCATGTAAGACTAAAGTGTCTAGTGAAGACAAGCCGAAAAGTAGATACTTGATCGATATTCAGTGATTACAAGTCTTCAACAGTTATATATGTCCAAACCAAGTTCACTTTTAACGGTTTGAAAAAATTTGGGCATTGGGTATATGATATTCATTATAATAAAGGTTTTTGTATGTCCCAATGAATGAAAAACAAAAGGATATTGTTTTTACTGACGTTTCGCTATTTAATGCTAATAGCTTTATCAGAGTATTATTAAACCGGAATTTACAAAATCTCAGCAAATATATAACAAACAGTTAGGGGGTGAGAAAATATGCATAGGTCAAGTTAAAGGGACATATTGAAAGTAAAAATAGCGATGAAGATAACTAAACCAAATAAGAAAGGTAATAGTATGCCTGTTATGATATCAAAATAAAATTTACTAACTTGATCGTCGTTCGTCTGTCTGGGGGCATTTTTAGTTGTCAAGTTGGTGAATTGGTAAAGATAACAAAACCACCAAGTGTAGATTGTTGGATTTGATAAGTGTATAAGATTATAAAAGCAGCGTGTGTTTATATAATGAAAGTGCTCATCACATTCGTGTTGGTTTTGTCACTTGATGGGGGGAGGGAGGTGTTGTAACCAGGTCAGATTCTGTTTTAGTCCATCATTCCTATTCAGGCAATTTTGATTCCACTTGATATGAAGTGCTTCTGATATTAGACGTTCTTTGTGATTTCTTAAGTTTTTCTGGATTATTTCAACATTATCAAAATCAATTTTGTGGCCTGATTCTATAGCATGTAGACCTATGGCTGATGATTTTTCAAGTCTTTGTAGTTCAACAGGATTCTTCGGTGGTCGAAGAGATGCTCTACGGTGTTCATTTCTTCTGATTTTGATTTCTCGAGAAGTTTGTCCGATGTATATCGCATCACATTCCAAGCATTTTATTTTATAGACACAATTAGATAGAGAATCTTTAGAGATTTGGTCTTTTATATGGACAAGGTTGCTTTGAAGTGTGTCTGGTGTTTTGAAGAAAACTCTAATGTCGAGCTGATTGAGTACTCTTCTGATATCGTCTGACGTCTCTGCTCTATATGGAATGACGACTGTTGATGTCCATGTTTTCGGGATGCGTTTTTGGGCCATACTTAATGTCTGTGTTGATTTTGTTGATGAAGTTCCATGGGTAGTTGTTTTGTTTGAGGGTTTCAGTAATGTTTGATATTTCTTCTTCTTTTTCTTTCTCGTCGGTTATTAGAGAGTGTGCTCGTCTAAGAAGACTTGAAACAACTGGAATCTTTGCGCTGATGGGGTGTGATGACTTGAAGTCTAAATACTTATTTGAGTGTGTTTTCTTCCTGAATATGGATATATTAAAATATCCGTTTTCCCTTCTTTTAACTAGGCAGTCTAGAAATGGTAGTTCACCGACGTCTGATTCTGCTTCCGAAGTGAATTGGATTCTGGGACATACACAGTTTATTTCCTCCAGAAATGAATTGTGTAGATCTCGTTTTAGTACTACAAAAGTATCATCTACATATCTTAACCATATTTTAGGAGTGAGTATGCTTGAAAAGATGTTATTTTCGAATTTATTCATGAAAAGGTCGGCGACTATCAACAGTTATGATAATAATGTAGAGCCTAATTATGCAATATACTGATGTATATGAAGATTTCATAGCTAAGACATTTAACAACGTTAAAAGCACCATCAAATGATTTGATTCAAGCACTCAATGAAATAATGCCCCAACCAAAACATGTTACTATCACATATGTGTCAACGTCATTCCGTGTACACGATATCGAGACATTCCAGAAGGAGTGCAGTCAACCTATTGATGATCCACTGCAGATGTCAGTATTATGTATGACGTGTTGAAATGACGCATCGACTGTGTCCTGTTATGCTTATGTTTTATTGAATCCTTCCATATTCATTTTGATCTTCCGACAATATACAATATTGTGCAGAAACAGCATTGCACAATAATTATTCACGGTTGGGAATGACTACGCAACACTATGCCACGATCCCTACGTAATAAAGTATGTCTTTACACGAAAAGGCAATTGAAAATGACTACTGTTTGACTAGATGCTCACAAGCTTTTGCTGAAGCACGGAGGTCAGTGAATAAGCCGTGGAGTAGGTCGTTGGCCTCAGAAATCGAATTATTCAAAATATATCCCGAGTTCGAGTACTACATACTCCGGTTATCCCATCTGCGTGACTGACTGGTATCATCAATCTCCAGATAAAACCTGCAGCTCACAGACTGCTGCATGAACGATCTACTCCGCCCTGCTCACTGGAAACAAACACACCAATAAAGAAGGTAAACACACATGCATTTGGTCCGTACATTATTGGGTAGATTGCTGGCGAGGTGGACATAATCACCGCGGTGAATTTTCGCCTAATTTTCACATAATCCACTTGTAAATACCGTTTCTCTCTGTTTTCCCCTTCTTTCTTCTAGGCATTTTCTGAATGGTTCTGATCATCTCAATCTTTCTGATAATTATCATCTTACACATTTTGAAAAATAAGTAACCATATGATGTAATTACTCTGCTTTTATTTGTAGAATTATACAACTTTAAATAAATTTGTTTGGTTTTGCCAATAAAATTATCATTCTTATCGCTGACTCTGGCTTCGTCAAGTTAGTGAAAGTGAAAATAAACTGGAGGAAATCTATTCGCTAATTTGTCATCATTAGTTGCGTTTAGTGGTTGACAATTCAGGAGATGTATAGGCGCGATTGTAGCAGAATCGCATGAGTTTTGAGAGTATTCAGGTATCATCTTCCTATTCAGGCAAACACAAATAGAAAGACAGAGCAAGATCGACGACATGGTCATAGGATACAAGATGTGGATTTCGAGAATGTTGTTGTCAGAATGCGATTTATTTTCTTTTTTTTCCTTCACGTTCTTCAGTGGAACATAGAGCTTCAAGCTAGTGACTTGAAGTTTCTGTAGCAGTGTTTATTTTACAGGATTGGGTTGCTAGTTTCATGCCCAACCTTTTCTTTTCACCAGCATTATTTCTGGATTAGCGAGGTAAAGGAGTGCGTCGCCGGGGATCGAACCCCGTACCATGTGCAGGTCAGCGAGCGTCCTAACCACTATGCCACCGACGCGAATGCGATTTATACTTAGTTGAAAATGGTTCACAGATAAATAAGCAAAAGTGAGAGAAAAACGTGTTACATAGGTAAGTATTCAGACAGACCGTTAGATAAATAGATAAACAGATATAAAATAGATAGCAATGGCCGCACGTACTAAGAAATATGAATCCTGCCAACCTGGACTCTAAAGGAATCAAACTTAATAAGTTTGAGCATAAACACACTTGGCTCAGCGGCGCTGAAATGGTCAAAAATTCCAAAGAATACTGGCCTACGTTCTCAGGTAAAGGCATGCCTATAAGTTCACCTGATACAAAGTTGAAAGAAGTCAGTATTTTGAAAACGCAGGTACCAACATATCCAGTGGACATCTTATTGTCGTACTTCTCATCCTGGATGGAACTTCGCAGAGTGGTAGCCTGGTTAAGTAGATTTAAATGTTGTTTCATGTAAACGTGTGATGAAAGGCCCTTTACAAACCAGTGAGGTGTTAGAAGCTGTGAAAGATATGCTTAGATGCGGTCAAAGACAAGCATTCAGTGAATTCAAGGGAATTAAGGAAGAACGCTCTTCAGATGGTGAGTGCATGTTACGGCTTCAAAGTCTCAAACAGCTAAGCCACATCGTCTTAGGTGACTTCAAATGTGTTGGTGGATGACTGAGTAATAGTATTCTGTCAAGTTCAGCAATATATCCAGCCATATTACCTGGAACTCATCCTGTCACGGAAGTTATTGTTCTCCATTTTCTTGAAAATGAAGGACACATGGGAGTAGCTTTAATTTTGTCAGCATTACGTAGGAAATATTAGATATTGAAGGGAGCTGCAGTTAATAAGCAAAACATGTCACCATAGTAGATTCAGAATGAAGACAATTTTTTTCCTACACAGAGACCTGGTTTGAAAACTCCGATTGCACTTGCCCCGGCAGTAGCAATCATCTTCCTGTCTGTTTGTTTATCTACTGACTGGCAACTGTGAGTGATTTGACAGAGTCAGTATCATGTCTGTTATCCACAAGGTGCTTGGTTTTCGAAATTTTTGGCACTTTCACTTCCGCTGTTCCTAACCGGCTTGACAAATACTCCATCGCCTTTCTAAACGACCTTTTATTTACTTTCTTCCACAAACACACTCAAATTGATGCAATCAGCAGTTTGAAGTGTCTAGGATTGCTGACTGGTCTTTCTCAGCTTGTTGAAACTGACGCTCGGTGGTGTTAATGCAGACGAGTTTTGCAGGAATAATAAGTCCTCAAGAAAGCTTCAGTGACATGGATCAATAATGAATTGAGAGAATAGGTTGAGTTATTCCAGTAAGTCTCAAATTCCAGATATAATAAGTCAGGTGGAAGATTTTCTTGTACATCAACAGGATACAACCCGACCAAAAGAGATTTGCAGAAAAAATCAATACCGGCATCGATACTAAATGAAATATTTCATTCCCATCACAGTGCCTTCGAGTTTTACAAGAGTTATAGGATCGAACCATTCTCTGCAAGTCTTGCTGACTTCTGAAACGAAAACTGACTTTTGGAGGGATTCAGTTTAAGACCTTTTGAATCAGTGAGACCATTGATTAGGCTCAGATAGGAAACTGTTACTCTCAGAACAGTCTAATGAAGGAATGCTTGGGACAGAAATTCTCACATCATCAGCATGCGTAATGAAACCGTTGTCTTTAAAAAAAAGGATAAGGTAATTCATACAAAAATAGAGAAACAAAGAAAGCCTAAGTGCAGAAAGTGCAGCGCTTTGAGGCACACTAACTTTAGCGGGCAAAGAGAAGTGGGAGGACAATCAGCTTGTATTTGAATTCAGTCCCTATTAAAATGAAGCGAATACAGCTAATTAGTATTTTGTTATCTTGCTGATAAACCTCGCCTTTTCAGCTAGCTGGTCTCAAGCAGGGGTAAAGAAGGAATGTTGGCCGTGAGTCTACCAACCTCACAACACTAAACCTATCGAACCACCAGAGAAACTTCAACGCGCAGCAAAAACACAGCAAGAATAGAAAATTTCAAATAACAACAACCTTATTCTTCCCTGGAGACGGAGAGGCAGAATGACACAAGCCGGTGAAAGAAAGCCTTCAGGAAGACAGTCAGTCAATGTGGTGTCTCTCGATGAAAACAAAAATAAGAATGGGGACGTGGAATGTCCATATAATGTTCGAGACTGAAAAGGTTGTCCAGGTAGATAAAGAAGTGAGAAGATAGGGTACACAAGTGCTGGGTATCTGCAGAAGCAGATGGAATGACAGTATAGCCAACTGGAGAGTCAGTAATCTACTCTGGTCATCGAAGCGACAACCACGGACTCAATGAAGGGTGGGCTATTATGATGTCACCAGTGACAGCAGAAACCTTATGCAGTGGGAACCAATTTACTCACGCATGATCATGACGGCAAGATTCAACTCCAAAGCAATGGAGGTTAAAATTATCCAATGCTACGCACAGTGCTACAATCAACTCGGAACAAGAAAAGTAGAAAGACGTTTACAGACAACTACGAACAGTAATGGACAACATTCCAAATGCTGACATCAAAATCCTCATGGAAGACATGAATGCAAGCCGAATTGGAATCAGAAAGCAGCACAGGAAGATAACTCATCATGAGTTGAGAGGCTCTTCTTAGGTGTAGTCAATGAGAATTGAGAATTATTCTCAGATTTCTGAGCTTCCAATGATCCGGTGACAGGAGGCAGAGTCTACAAACAAAAGGATATACAAAGGCAACATGTGATTTGCCTGACGGACACACCACAAACCAAATACATTTCATATCACTCCCAAGGAAGTGGAGACATAGCCAGCCTGCCGGACACAAAGTCGAGAAGGGGAGCAGATGTGTGCTCAGACCATCATCCAGTTCAAGGAACCTTCGAGGTGAAGCTTGAATCCCTGAGAACAATTGGAGACTGTCCACAATTGAAGTTCAAAATTCAGAAACTGAAGGACAAGCTACAAGGGATGCCTTTGCTACAGATAAGATGAGAGCAAAGTGGGACACAATACATGCTATCACTGAGGAAGGCCACGATATTCAAGGAAGCGTGTACAACTGTTCTTAGAAGATTGAAGAGACAAGACAAGGAGTGGCTGACAACAGATACCTACCTTAAAGCTATTTTAGTAGAGGAGAGGAAAGGAGGATGGTGAAATAGAAGATGGCTCAATGCAAAGATGGGCAACAGAAAGAGCAGTTGAGTTTGATGTACACTGCACTGAATAAAGCAGTAAAGAAGAGTGCTAGGAAAGACAAAAGCCTATTCTACAACACATTAGCGAGAGAGATCTCAGGACATTATGTCAAATAACCAGGTGTCTGCCTGAGAAGAGATCAATTCGAATGATGAAACCAATAAAAGATGGTGAAAGGAACCCGATCACTAAGGAGGAGAAACAAATAAAACAATGAACGGGCTGATCACATTGAAGGACTCTTGAATCGTCCATCACCTGCAACTCCTACAGAAATAACACCACCAACAGCATGCAAAGAACTACATACCAGTTAACACTTATCCTCCAACGAAAGCAGAAATGCTAAATGACCTCAAGCTACTGATGTTCAGCCTGGATGGCGGCAGGACCGGATGGAATTCCCACTGAAGCACTGAAAACGGACCCAGAGACTGCGGCAGATGTCCTCACGCCATTATAAGAAAAGGCTTGAATAGAAAAGAAGGTGCCTATTTACTGGCAAAAAGGCTACCTCGTCAAGCTGCCGAAGAAGGGCGACGCAGGCCTCTGCAATAACTGGCGTAGAATAATAATTTTGTCCACGCCAACTAAAATACCAAGTCGCATCATACTGGAGAGGATGAAAGATGCACTGGATACAGAAATCCTGGCAAATCCGGAAAAAGTTGGATTCAGAAAGGGCAATTCGTGTGCAGATTATATTGCAACCCTAAGGATCGTCACCACCCAAACCTCTACCTCAAATTCATTGACATTAGAAAGGTCTTTGACAGCTTAGACGGAGAAGTGATTTGGAAACCACCTCAACATTATGGCGTAACTCAAGTCTGTACTAACCTCATTTAACAGCTATATGACAGCGACGCGTGTCAGGTGATCCACATTAGCGAGCTCAGTGAGGCCTTTGAAGTTTGGAATAAAGCCATTATTATTATTATTAAGTGAACACAGGAGTAAGACACGTCGGTTGTCTATTATCGCCGATGTTATTCTTAATTATGGTGGACTGGATTATGCATCCGACTGTAAAATGGAGCGAGAAGATAGGGATACACTAGGCAGACCAATAAGAAGACTCTAGAAGATCTGGAT